GGTAAATTAACTGTCAGCAGGTGCCTTTGTTCTGAACTACAAAAACTCCTGGCTGAGCATCTCTGCCTTACTGCGACCCGAACAGTATGTCACAGGGAGAAGATACTTGTAAGAAGCCGACCCCAAACCATGGCATGTTCACCAAGCCAAAGGTAGTACCTTGAACTGTGTGGAAACCAGTATATCCATTTCAACATCAGCACTGAGCATTAGCATTTATACACTCTGGAAATGATAAACACTCCCAGTATTCTAGCTTGCCTTCAGCTACTATCCTATCTAGAGCATTCAGGAAGCAAAGGCATTAATCACAGTAACAAAATCTTTAAAGACCAGCTCAGTCTAACCAGATGAAGAAAAATGGTTCTGCCTTTTAACAGAAGCCGTTGATCTAACACAAGTCAAGGTGTGAATTAACAGAAACAACTTCCACAGAAAGAAGCACAGATGTAATCTTTGCCATGTCTCCCAGGTATCTTGTCCTCCAACAAATTATTTCTTATCTAGGTGGCTCTTCAGCCAATTAGACTTATTTACAGCCTTGCATTAAACACAAAACAACCAAAACACCTCTTTGCACTCCGGCTATGAAATTGTCATGTGGCATTTCATGTGATCTTAAGCCCAATATGACCTTGTAGGAATAATGATCAAGTAAAAGAATTGTATGCGTGTAGCACTCTTCAGTTATACTATGCTGGAGACAGTAATCCCAGATTAATCCCTGTTTGGGGATAGAATTCAAAATAACAGTGTCTTTTCATCTGTTACCAGAGGATCATTCTCTACTGAGAGAAATAACTAGTGCTAGTATGGTCAAAACCGGAGCCACCTCCTCTCTTTTTGATGCCAAAATGATCAGTCTATGATAAAAAGTCAACTGAAGTTGATAGACTTCATCTGAAGTCTATCTACATAAATACGAAATGTCATACATGTGAAATCAAAGCAGTTATAAAGCAGAGCTGAAGAACTAGAGAGCCAGGAGATAAGTCTCTTTCTTTGAATTATTTTATCTCAAGTTGCTGCTTTATTGGACTCTCTTAAGAAACAAAGACTGCATGACCACTGAACAAGGAAACCTCAGGCCACAGGCCAGTCAGTGCACAGTAGTCCATGACCTTGCCACGTGCAATGCTCAGTTTAATAATTTGACTTTATTTGATGCCTGAAAACATGGGGGATTTTTGCTAGCACCCTAAACTGGCGGTTTGCAATAGCATGGTAGCACGGGCACGTGTTACATGCAGGGGGCATGGCACATCTGCAGATCTGTGTGTTTGAGAAATCCATCCTCAAAACTGAATCCAATTTTCTCAGCAGATGAGGAAGCTTTGCAACAAGAGAACCTAGAAGGAATTCACGTATGGGTAAGTATGGGCTATGGCGGCCAGGGAGCCAAGCTGAGACACACAAAGATATGCAGTAGAAAATACGTCTCTTCTGCTGAGAACGGATTCCTTCTCCACTCTAAAAACTAGGACACTACACTAATTTTGGTGTTTACTTCATTTTCTTCTCCATGGATGACTAGCTTAAATAGTAAAAATTAAATTTCAGATCTTTTTAAAAAGAAACAGCAGCTCACACAGCTGATCGGGGCTCCAACAATGCCTTCCCTTGCAAAGCGAACATTTTTTTTGTGCCCATAATATCAAGCATGCTAAAGCCCAGCTGCACCAAAAATTTATATTGTTTGTTCTAATTTAGAAAAAAAAAAAAACCCTAACCAAAAATACTGAACTGAACCCAGGCAGATTTGTTCATCAGTGATAAGTCTACGGTCATCTTTCAAGGTGCAGAAAGCTGGCTGGGCGCACCGCAGCTGCCTCTTGCTGAGGGAGTTTAAATGCTCAACCTTGGCTCTTTGCAAATGCTTACACTCGGCTACAAACTGCACTGGGATGGAGCCCACCTTGTGCTGCCTCACAGCCAGGAAGTCCTAGGAAGCAGTACAGGGCTGTGGCCTGCTGAAGACAAATGCCTACCTGGGAGGCAAAGTCCAAACTGCCATCTTTTCCCTGGTACCGCCTGCCTAAAGCTGGCAGCTGCAGCAGAGAACAGCTGGACCCCAGCACTGCTGCTAGCAGGTGGTGCAGTCTGCAGAGGGGGAGCTGCAGAGCTTAACCGCACAGCGTGAAGACAGGCTACAGCCGAAGTCTCACACCTCCTGGAAAGTCCTTTACTCACCAGAGTAGTCTGCAAGGTGTGGATAAGCCCTTTCCATCTAGACACCCTTTCTTCTTTACCTTAGGCAGGATACAATGTATAAAGTTAAACATGTTTTCCTCAACCGTGTCCGTCAGGGAATTTGGAACCTCAGTTTACATCCAACCCATAGTCTTCATGTACAGTGTCCAAATAGTTATTTTAAAAAAAAAAATAAAAAAAAAAAAAAAGACTTTCTCGTGTCTTCCTGTGCTTTGCTACAATCAAGAGCACGACAGTTAAGATAAAAGCGGTTTCAGTATGCCTTCTTTACATGTGATGTAGTAATTACTTCCTTATATTTTCCTCTTTAAAAGGCTCCCATAAAAGCCACAGACAGATACTTTCAAGGAAAATACAGTAGCAAGATAATTCTAGTAAAAAACAGGACAGATTTACATTCCATTATACTCATTTAAAAATGAGAAAATTTTAATACTGGCTTTAGAATTAAACATTCTTGCAGTTTTCCAGAACAGATGTCAAAACTGTTACTACTTCTGTCATAAAGGGACAGCTGGAACCACTCCGAGCTGATGAAAAAAGGATTTCTGTGGTAGGCTTGGCAATTAAACATAAGGAGTTAACAAATGTAATTATTCTTTACAAGTGTATCAGTCAAGTTTTGAGTCATACTTAAAGCAGCATACATGCGACTGAACCTTGCTGAGTGAAAACTGGAGAGTTCCATAAATAATGGCAAATTGAAGGTTCATGAGAGCTGCTTCAGAGAGGGCGAGTTTGTTCAAACTAGTGGTTTCTGAGTTTGTAATCTGCCTTTGAGGGACCTAATGTATGTTATTAGAGGAACTTTGCAAAGAGAGGCACGTGCACTGATGAAGTTCTTTCAGTCGGGCTGTGCAACGCATGGATCAGTTGCAGGCCGTGTTGCAGACCACTGCTGATGAAAATGATTCACAAGTCCACACTAACTACTCTGTGTACAAGGCAAAACATTAATATGACTTGTCTTTCATCAACAGTAATGTTAAAACTCTCTAAAGGCTAACAATCTCTGCAGACCACAGTTGTTATGTCTAAGTAACATATTTTAACCTTTTTTTCTGACTCTCACGTTTAAACCTAGAAGTGTTTGTACAGTATAAACACTTCATACATTTTATTTTACTTAAAATTCAGTTTTATTTCTTAATTAGAAGTAGAAAGGAAGGATAGTCCGAGATCTTAGCAATACCTGACTTTTTAGGCAAAAAAGCCTATGTTCTCTACATGATGGGAAATTGATCAAACAAGTTGAAAACATGGGGCAATTAAAAAAATTGTGATTGCACCTTCAGGGCAAAATAAAACAATGTAGGATGTACAAACCTACCAAATACTGTCTATCCATATAACCAAATTTACACATTTTTAAAAAGAACATGGGGGATTTCTAGGCTTAAGTGTAACCTGCACAAATGTAAAGCCTGAAGGTTTTTCTTAACATTTTTTCCCCGCCTCCCTCTCTCCAAGGATTTGCTGTGAGTCTTCAAGTGATTCTGTCGCATCCGAAAGCCGTGTTCAAGCGCCGTGGTTCTCAACCAGGAATGCAAGAATCTGATTTTCTGAAACAGATAACAACAGTGGAGGAACTGGAACCAAAAGCAAACAACTGCACAAAGGTACTGATTTCCACACTTGCTAAAAAGCTTTCGTGTCATCTCTGTAGATGACTGTACTAACGCAAATGTTATTTTATAGGTTCTTGTATGGCACACACGAACAGAAAAAGTAAATCTAGCTAATGAGCCAAAATACCACCTGGACACAGTCAATATTGAGGTATGATGTGGAGGCACAGTGACACAGTACAATGGATGTGTCAGAAGGTGTTCAAATTCAGCCCGTTAAATAGCCTACTTCTGCGTGAGACCTTTTAATAGTCATCTGATGGACTTCTGTGGAAACAAAAGAAAGTTGTCAGATACTCTAATAAGCAAATCAAGTGGGTGTGCTTTGTTCTAACTTGTTTGCATGCATTTCTGACCTCTCGTCTTAATAAACTGACATTTACCTTTGTTTTAAGGCTGTTTCCACATAGTAAAAACGATCAAGAGAAACATGGCTGCAACGGAGTATTTTCAAGATCATAATTTATGTATATACTTTTTGTATTTATCTAGCTTAATGGTGTAATTATAAACTGATTTTAAATCACGAACTGTTGATCTAAATATTTGCAGAAATGGATCCCCAAATTGAACATGTTTTCCTTCATTAAAAATAGACTAATTGAAGAAATAGCGGTCAAATAGGTCATACAATAATGAAATAAAAACCCACAATCATTTATGGATTTATCCTTTTAATATAGGGAAATAACATTTTATCATTATGAGGCACCATAAAATGTAAACACAATCACTGTCATAAACCTGGATATCTCTGCAAGGAAAAATATAGCTGTTCACATTGAGTTACCTTGTATACATATTGTGCCGCTAGTTTTCAGCATTAATACTGTGTACGTGCCTCGCGAGCCAGATTGGGTACTTTATCACAGGAAACTCAAATGGATCAAATGCTCGTTTTTACAAGAATAAACTATTGATTTGTAGAACTACAGCAACATCCAGGTTTATCTTTCTTTCAATAACCATATTCCCTGTTATGCACACCATAATAACATCACAGTGAAATGTATGATGAAACAAAATTTGTTTGATACACTAGAAAACATTGCTCAGTGATACATTTACATTCTATTTATATATGATTAAACATTTGTTCGTACAGTACCTTCTACAGGATTACTGGGTAATTTTGGGGGGTCAGGGTTCATATTTTTGGGTATTACTAACATGATAGCTACATCCCTTATATGCAAACATTTGATCTAGAATTTTGAGGGGAAAAAAATCAGTAGGTGGTTAAGCAGCTTCTTAAATATATGGTCTATGAAATCATATGCATTGTATGAAAACGCTGCCAATGATGTATAAATGCATTCTTGATCTGCTTTTCACTACATCAAATTTAAATCAATATAGACCACAACACGGTCAGTCAGTTATATTCTTAATCTGAACAGCTGGGGAAAAAGAAAAAGAGTATGTACATGGAAGGAACAGCGAAAGTAAACGCATTTGAACAAGGAATGTCAGGTGGCTGTTCGGGGTGAGACTCCTGTTGCAACTTTCATTTCCACAGTTGTGTGCTGAGAGTCTGACCAGAGGAGCTTCCAGTCCATCCTGCCGCTGTGCTGGAGGGCTGGCCAAAGCCCATCACGTTGCTGGAGCTGCTGAGATTCATTCCAGCCATTTGCTGGTTCATCTGTGAAGCACACACACGAGCCTAGTTAGTGCTGGTGCTGAAACACAACTCACTGCGAGCCAAAAGGCAGTCGTACTTCCTAAGCTAGCAACCCAGTTAAAGTACTTTTTCCTAAAACTAATATTTCTCATTAAATAAAAATACTGACTCATTATAAGTTTCTACGCATTTTTCAAGACAGCAGCTTTTCTGGGACCAGTTTCTGTTCAAGCGACCACCGTTATACATCAGCTGTCTGGCTGTAGCACTCGGTGTATATGTCAAGTCTGTATAAACACTCCGCTAGTGAATTTACAGAGCGGGTGACAAAGGAGTCCCATGTGTCTCCCTTGATAAGAGCTTGCTTTCAAAGTTTCAAAGCTAACCAACAAAATTGTGGCAACTGTGATAAAGAAACACCAAAGCAAGTAATACAGCCTTGTCTACATTTGCAATTCCAGATGCTTTTTGTTCCAGCAATATTTCTTTGGAGATCTCAAAATCCTGAATACACAAGTTTTTGTAGAAATTGTCCATTTAGGTGGCAATCAACAAAGAATGAGGTGGATTTATAAACTTGAGTATTATCTAAATCTAACCATTCTTGCTAATCAAGATACAACAATTTCTTAGAAACAAGTGAAATCATTCACATGAAATTAAAGACGACATCTAGTTAAAGGTGGGACAGAGTTCAAAATCCAGCACATTCGCTTCAGGGATGGTGCAAAAATATTTCTAGTCTCTACAAATATTATCTACTCACTGTAGTTTTCATTGCTCAATGTAAAAACGTTCTTCAGGTTACTCTCCCTTGCCTTCTGAAAAATGAACGCTTACTGACAAGCCAAAACTCTAGCTGTATAGACAGAGTGAAGATGTCCTCTCTCATGAGTTTGAGAGCAAGAGAGTATTTGGAGCAATTAATAATCAGAGCCGATGAACAGGGATGTTGGATAAGCAACATTAGATTCAAGCATTAGTAAAAATCAGAGTTCATGTAAGCATGAGCGAACAACACCGGGTTGCAAAATGAAACTGAAACACTGGTGAAAAAAATTCTTAAGTCAATTGCAAACTAATATTTCAGGGTAAAACTCAGTACTGTGTGCTTTCACATGTGTATCTGCAAAAACAACCCATCACTGAACATGGAAATTTAAAAAAAGCTGATGAAAACATGCTTTACCTAGTTGTTAATCTCTTCTGGAGTAGAATTCTTAAGAAGTAGACTACATATATAAAGCATGCTATTCTGGTAAGTAAAGCACGCTCTCCCCCTTCCAACTGGAGCCAGAGATTGGGTCACAGTTCCCCTACAAGCTGCGGAATGTCAGCACACTGATAACATCTGATGTGCAAGCAGTACAGAAACATGTTAAGAGCTTGTTCTATGAGCCAACTTTTAATATATATTTAATAAGAAGCATGATTTTAATTTCAAAGCTGATATGGGTCTTTTTAAATTAGATACCTAGAAAAAGACTGTTAGCAGTAAATCCACAGATTTTTTTGGTTTGACATTTTGAAATTCTCACCTTTTAAAAATTACTTTTCAAAGCAGGATGACAGCCTGTGTTTTCAAATAGGGGCTGTTTTATCCATGTAAGAAATGCTGCTTACCTTCATAAATGTTCACACCACAGGACTGAGCAGAACAGTAAAAATTAATATAATCCAATCTAAATAAGTCACTAAGGTTCACTTCCTGAACTACTAGAGTAAGCAGCACGGAATTATTATACTGTTCTTATAGTTCAAACAATAATATGAAAAAAATAGTTGCTATCATCCATACTGAACTCCAAGGGAATCAATTAGGTTTGTTGCCCCCCAGTAAGCTCTCAAATACCTGATTTCAAGATGTTTCATTGGATAATGTACAAATATAGTACTAAGTGTACACTAACACTTTTAAAGAACCTTTTAAACATGTTTAAGAAATGTAACAAAATAGAAATGTAAAATCTGTAGCACGGAAATGCTACAGATAAATAATAGATGAGCCTAAGCAAATGATCTACAGGACAATGCTGGAGTGCAAAGCACTGCACATTCCAGTGAAAGTTATCCTGAAGTCTGTAAACGAAAGTATTGTTAATGGCTATCCTCAAGCAATTAAATTCTGCTTTTAGTTATAAGGCTATGTTTACATTTCAGTATTTTTTAACTGTAGCTAAGCTAGCTTTTTACCTGGCTAGTTCAGATGCCAAGATGAGAGTAGCTACAGAAGCAGAGAACTGAGTTTGGTCTACCTTGGCAAAATTTATTCTCTGCTTACATACTAGTTATCTTTAATTGAATTATTCACCGATTTTTTATCATGTGCCTCTGAGCAGTTCATAGTCCAGCAGTCTGCAACTTGGCTACGCCACAACCTTCCTCCTACAGCCAAACATTTTGTATCTGAAAAGCAGTGTCTTTCCCAAAGCACTGTTGTCTGGGAATAGCAAGACTTCACCTGAGAGAGGTTCCATGGAGCTTGTTGGTTTTGTTGCAATCCGTACTTATTTTGTGGCGTGACCATCTGTCCCACCATTCCACCTTGAGGTCCAACGACATTTTGAGGAAGTCCCATCACACCAGTCTGTGTAGTACCAGTAAATCCATTGGGCATTCCCATTCCTACCATCATGCCTGTGCTCTGTCCCATGACTGGCACTGATTGTCCCATCACGTTTCCCATCATCCCAGTTGCTGCAGGCACAGGAACTCCCATGGCTGGAAATCCTTGAAAATGAGTTGATGGTTGTGTGGTAAATGGCATAGAAGACGACCCCATGAACATACCTGTACCAGAGAAGGGAAGATTTCAGCAAAAGTGTTTTGTGATTTTCTCCCCCATCCCCCTAAGTCAGAAATGCACCAAAATAATTTTAAAGGATAACTTGTCCAGTTGTACATCAGTGCTGTTAATTTAGTTTCTGGTAAAAGTAAAAAATTTCTTAAAAAACTCTCAAAGGAAAGGGACTCACCACCAGAGGTTAACTGCCAAAAAGAGTTTGGCAAATCCCTGTGGTGAACAAGAATCTTTTAATTGCTGTATTGGAGGTCTTTGTTTTCATACAAAGATAGCTAAAATTAAGATATGACAGCTCTGTACTTATCCTGGCAGCCTGCTCTTTGCACAGCGGAGACTCAGACCTTAAGCAATCAATTAGACAGCAGAAGCTGGATTCACAAATCTTTCAGTAAATTGTATACTTGATAATTTGAACAGCTATAAGTAAATTAAAATCACTATTTTTTTCTTTAGCTTCTGTATTACATTTCAGTAATCGTCTCATTTTTATAAATGGTAAAAATAAAAATCTTCATTTGAACATAGGCAGCAAGCTACCCAACCTTAGTTTTATACTTGTAGGAGAGGTAAAGCTTAAAACAGGACTGCATAGAAACCTTTACAAAATTATTTACCCGGAGCATTTTGCTGCTGCATGGTTCCTGTGCCATACAGTGATAAGATGGAATCTTTGGAGAGTTGTTTCTTTGCCGACTCTTCGGATTTTGTTGTTTGCTCAGTGAATAGATCAAGATCCCCGGATACCGCAGACAAGGTGGTAGCTACTGGCTTAGTGGAAGTGCTCTGGGAAATAAAGGTCAAGGCAGACTACTGAATGAAACCAGCAAAATATGTTATGTTAAATATTTACTGCACATCCTCACTCCTGAACCAAATAAAAACCAGTTCATTTACAGAAATTAACTTTAAGTAAATGAGGATTTAAAAAGATTTGGTATGACCAAAGACAAAAAAGCTGTACATACGATATGGAAAGAAGATTAGACGGAGGTTACAAAACACGCAAAACTAAAGCCCCAACCAGCTCCAGGGCGTACACATACAGATTATTCATTCCTGTTGCTCCTACGTTTTTCATCAGTGAGAAGCATAAATCATGAGCTGTAGTTAGATTATGAAAAGTAATTAGGAAATCAATAAGGAGATTACAATTCACATCTCATTAATCCTCTCACAGGCAGAATAGATTACAGAAGAGCTAAAACAAAAGATTAAGTGCTTTGGAATATACTACTACAACTAAGATGAGCAGTATTTTTGGAGAAAAGGCAAAAGTAAAATTTCACTTGATCTACTTAAAGTAATAACATTTCTAAAATATGCTGTTTATAATTGGCTTAGAGTTCTTTAAGCACATTTCATTTATTGAGAAAGCATTTATCTAAAACTCACTGTAGTCTACAACTGAAAAACTAAAATGCATGCAGGCTGTCAGGCTTTTTATTGCTCTTGCACCAAATGTTTTGTAAACATATCACATTCAGGTGTCTTTCAGTGCTGTTATTTTGCTGCTCATACACATACAGTTCCATGTGGGGGCTTGCTTAGGTAACTAGCCAATACACTGCGTTGTTGTTAGATTTCTTAAATGTATCCTGTTACCAGTGGGAACTTTTAATGCAAATCAACTGTATATGCACTGAAAAAAAGCCAGGATTGCAATGCATACCTAAATGATGGCCTTATTTCAGTCCAGCTAAATGGTCCCCAACTGCTTAGCATACACCTGCCTAATCCCACAGCACCTGCGAGTTTCAACTCTTTCCTACACCGAAGGAAAATCCTCCTTGCACTACCACCATGAATGGACTGGATCCGCAACCAGGTCCATCTGTTTACTGTCATCACATACCAAAGTTTATCAGACAGACAAGAAGCCACCACAACATACGTAGATACGGTATCACACCTATATTCTTGCCTAAAGCAACAACCTCCAAACTTTTCCTGGTTTTGCAAGCGGGTTGCTGACTAGGCCCTGAAAAGTCCACTATGGTCACACTGGATTTGTACAAACACCACAATACAAACATTCAATTTGCAGCTTCAGAAAATACATCTGACTCCTGAAGTGCTAAAAAGCTCTCAAAAAGCTAAAAAGCTCAGTGTTATAAATTGGAGGGAAAAAAACCCCTGCAAAACCAACTAAGTTGGCCAGAAACCACCAGGAGAAAGGAGTGCCGATTCACATGGTTGATGGTGAAACATCTCCAAAACTGCTGCGGAAAGGGAAGAGAAAAAGAACAAGAAATGGAAACTCGGTGGCAGCTGAAAACCCTGCATTTGTACAACAGCCAGTTTGGGCCAAGGTCACTAGACCTTGGTAAGCAACAAAAGGTAGTGTGATGGCACTACAAAGGGAAAGCGGACAGAACAGCACCAGGAATCGTTCAACTCCTGTGACACCTTCTCTCTGGCCAACGTACACTTAAAACTATCAACTTCCTTACGTACATATTATAAAAGCTACTGCCTCTTGCTTATTACTGACAAAAATTTCTGATTGCAAAGCAAAATCGAAGTTTTTTAATGAGTAGTAGGGAGCCCTCTCCATTTGAGACAACTCTTTGTCAGCATGGCATAACCAGTCTTTGAAAATACCAGAGTCTGATTTAATAATACATTCAGGTAAAAGCCCATCCTAAACAGCAGTATTTGCTTTACCGTGTATATACCCAGGAAGTCCCAGTATTGAATTATTCCATATTGACATGGTCCTCCTACCATGGCATCTGCCTAAGACAGCCTCTGTACAACAGCCACGCTCAGCAGATTGGAGAAGCACATGTAAGCAGTGGAAGAGAGTTAACAGAGGCGGCTTCCCCTCTCCTGCCTGCGCTGCAGTAAGGAAGGGTTTTGCTTTTCTCCAGAAGGGAGAAGAGCAGACATGTCTGGCTTTGTTGTTGGTTTTTTTTTTTTAAATAAATAATAGCGTCAGAGAAACTGTTCTTATCTGGAATGAACCACAGTTTGGAATGTCTCCAGATCTATGAAATACTGTTACTATAGGTGCTTTAACAAAATAAAGCAAATCACTACATGCGTGCACAGAAGAGAAGGGAGAGACGAAGACCTGGAGGACTGATCATCTATTATGTTTACGTCATGAGATTAAATGTTCATTTAACATCTCTTCATTCAGTTTGTTTTTGGATGATTCTGAGAGGAGCCAAAGCACTCAACAAGCATTCCCTGAAGTGTTCATCAGCTAAATAAATAGAAGGTAATGCAAAATCATGGCAAGAAAACAGTGGGTGGCATTCAAGTAGAAAAAAACCCAACAACATTGACATGATTTTCACCTATCTAACATTCTCATGCTACCCAAGACCTCTGTAAAAACACGCCTGGCATACATATAATAGTTTTCCTTTAAGAAAGGCTACCTGTAATGCTCTCAAACAGTCATCATACCAAAACTAAATGCTCATCAGGTGGTAAGAGAACATACTGCTAAGCAGTTTCATGATGTTAGTGTAACAGAATTTTTCAGAACTACTGGAATTCATCTCAATATGCTTCATGTTTAAACATATATAATTTTTGTCATCGATAGCTTATGTATTACCTGTAAAAGGTAATACCTCTCCAAAGAAAGTTTTCACTGTGAACTATTGGTCAGATGTGTCAGGACCACAAATACGATAACTGAATCCATCACTTTACACTTGCCATCTGACTACACAAATAGCACATGGCTGACCAGAAGTTTAGATTAATGCATGAGACTAAAAATAAGTATTTTCATTTTGGCTTTTAATTCCCAAAAGACTGCGAAACAGCAAATAAAGATCATTACATCCTCAATATTTTAAGCTGGTCTGACAGTTGTAGCAGTTCCAGATGGCTTTTGTCCATTGCCTGTGGTCCTGTCACTGGGCACCACTGGAAAGAGCCTGCCTCCACCTTCTTTGCACCCTCCCATCAGGTATTTATATACATTGATGAGATCCCCCTGAGCCTCCAGGCTGAACAGTGCCAGCGTTCTCAGCCACTCCTCATAGGAGAGATGCTCCAGTCCCTTAATCATCTTAGTGGCCCTTTGTTGCACTCTCTCCAGTATGTCCATGTCTCTCTTGTACTGCAGAGTCCAGAACTGGATAGAGCACCCCAGGGATCAAGGTGAGGCTGATTGGCCTGTAGTTCCCTGGGTCCTCCTTCTGGTCCTTCTTGAAGATAGGAGTGATACTTGCTTTCCTCTAGTCCTCAGGCACCTCTCCCAATCACCATGATCATTCAAAGATTATCAAGAGTGGCCTCATAAAGACATCAGCCAGCTCCCTCTGCACTCACAGGTGCATCCCATCAGGGCCATGATCTACATCCAGTTTGCTTAAGTATTCCCTGACCCAATCCTCGTCCACCAAGGGTACGTCTTCCTTGCTCCAGCCTTTTCCCCTAGTCTCCGGGGCCTGGGATTCCTGAATGCTGGTCTTGCTAGTAAAGACTGAGGCAAAGAAGGCATTCAGTACCTCAGCCTTTTACATTTACATGTCCTGTTGTCCCCAGGACCACTGCCCCTTTCAGCAGTGGGCCCACATTTTTCCTACTCTTCCTTTTGTCACCTATGTACTTATAAGTCCTTCTGTTGCCTTTGATATCCCTCACCAGCTTCCACTCCAGTTGGGCTTTGGCTCTCCTAACCCCATCCCTGCATGCTCGGACAGTGTCTCTGTATTCCCCAAAAGTTACCTCTACCTGCTTCCACCCTCTGTAGGCTTCCTTTTTGTGTTTGAGTTTGGCAGGAGCTCCTTATTCATCCATGCAGGCCTCCTGGCATCTTTTGCCTGACTTCCTGCTCATTGGGATGGACCACTCTTGAGCTTGGAGGTGGTGATCCTTGAATATCAACCAGCTTTCTTGGGCCTCTCTTCCCTCCAGGACCTTATCGCATGGGACTCTTTCAAGCAGATCCCTGAAGAGGCCGAAGTCTACTCTCCTGAAGTCCAGGCTTGTGATCTTGCTTTTTGCCTGGCTCCTGTAGCTCCACCATCTCATGGCCACTGCAACCAAGGCTGCCTTTGACCTTCACATCCCCAGTAAGCCCCTTCTTGTTTGAGAGCATGAGGTCCAGCACAGCACCCCCTCCTTGTTGGCTTTTCTATCACTTGGGTCAGGAAGTTGTCATCGATGCTCTCCAGGAACATCCTGGATTGCTTATGTCCTGCGGTGTTGTCCCTCCAGCAAAGACTGGCCTGACTGAAGTCCTCCATGAGGACCAGGGCCTGCAAGTGTGAGGCTGTTCCTAGCTGTCTGCAGAAGGCCTCACCTGCTTGTTCTTCCTGATCAGGCAACCTATAGCAGACACCCAATACAATGTCACCCATACATTTGGTTTGGTCTTAAGTCCTTACCCATAAGCTCTCAGCTGGCTCATCATCTATCCTCAGGCAGAGCTCCATGCATTCCAGCTGTTCTCTCACATCAAGGACAACTCTACCTCCTTGTCTTCTCAGCCTGTCCTTCCTAAAGAGCCTGTGTCCCTCCACTGCAGGACTCCAGTCATGGGAGCTATCCCACCACGTCTCCATGATCCCAACAAGATCATAACCCTCCAACAACACATAATCTCCAGTTTCTCATGTTGATTCCCCATGCTGCACGCATTAGTGTACAGTCACCTCAGTTTGTGCCTGTACAGAGGCCCCAGCATGCTGATTTCCCCAAAGAGGTTTGTCTGGTGGCTTTTTCCATAATGGTGCCTTATAGGCACTTCCTTGCTTACATGCAAATGCTTGAGGTGACACCAGTTAAAACCTGTTTCTTTGATTTTGTGTTCCCTT